ACGATGAATCATATACTGGAAATACTCGTGTACAAAATTTGCTTTTCTCTGGCCCATGTTTTCGTATTGAACACATTTATATATAAATTGTAAAAATCGTCTTCTGTTAGTTTCTTAATATAATATCAATCGCTTAAAAAGTGTTACCAACATAATAACAACACTTATAGTTTTAAGATATTACTTTTAAAAAATCACGAAAAAATTATCGNTAAATATAGGTAAATATGGGTAAATATACCGGTATTATCGTATACCGGTATGACGTCATACCGGTATATCTGCATTTCGGTTTGCATAAGGGTTTTCATACCATTACCCAAAAATATCGGTAAAATACCGGTATTTTGCATACCGGTATAAGTCCCTGGTTATGATATATATTTTTGCAGATCGGAGGAGGATGGAACGGTCCGATCAAGCTAATCGTGTCGTGCGTTACTGACGACCCGCCGCACAAATGTCATCCTTTTATTATAGTCGGTCAAAGCAGGCGTTGCGGTTACGGCATCTACACGGAATATCTCATGAACGGCGACGAGTTTGTCGTTTTGTCAGGTATAGGTCTTAAAATTTTGGAAGAAAAACAATTCGCATGGTCTCTTAAAATGCGCCGCGACTTAAGAGCAAGTCCTTTTGAAAGTACGTATAAAATTCTTTGTTACAAAAAAAAACAAAAAAAAATCTACTGCGTTTAATTGACTTTTTGAAATTAAATCTTTATTACTCACGGAGAACCTGTGTAATTGTGTTGTCGCCCACAGCTGACTCCAATCCGCTGCCGTTGGAAGATTATAGCAAACTGAGATTGTGTTTTCACGCGTACGTAAAAACCCCAAGAGATTTGCTGTTCGATATTCCTGTAAAACCTGTCTTATCTAAATCTATAAATCTGTTAATAATAGGTATATAATTATATATACATTGTTGTTATTTAATATATCTCGTTAATCTCGTCTTTGAGTTGACGACGATATTAAAATAATTAAAAAATGCTTAATGTTAAAAAAAAAAAAAAAAAAAAAAAAACAAAATGAAACGTCGAAACGCTTTTTCAGACCCGATAACCAGTTCGCTCCAACCGGTGTCTCCGATTATAATCAGGAGTTATCAGGAGGATAACTCGGGAGCAGCTTCTTCCTCGGCTGGCACAAGGTAGTTTTTTTTTTTTTTTTTTTTTTTTGTCACTTCCTTCGGGAACGTTTTTCGAACTTGCGTAAGGTACGAGAGTTCCGTTGTATTTCCTGTTCCCAGCGCCTCGGCGACTCGGCGAGAATCGCGATGGGAATGGTTGGCAAAACTTTCGTCCCCGGCCGCGCGCGACGACACCGCGATAGCTTCGGGTTCGAGTCAAAATTTGAGCGAGAGAACACCAACCAAAGCGAGAGATTCACCTAAGAAGTTCAATTTACATTTCTATTATCATAAAAAAGGTAAATAATTTTTATATTACTTTTCACACAGAAACACAAACAATAATAACTTTGGTTTTTAATAAAAAATTGTCTGAAATTTTTACAAATCTTTCTCTTGTTCGATTCTTTACGATTCTTTGCAGATAGAGGAGGTTCATCTGATTCGGACTCAGACTAAAAACTCACTCAGTACTATCGTTAACGTTTTAACTTTTGTGATTAGAAGCCGATTAAATATCACTTAGAGCACACAAGAGTTTCTTCGTTTCTCTTCACGCAATTTGAAATCCCATCTCAATTTCATCTGTATTTGATATCCGGCTATTTTGCGCTTGAGATCAACGGGGACGAGTAAGGGGGTCGCGGGTACTGAGATTTATATTAACAATTATGCGATTCCATCGAGAGAGAAAACGGAAAAATGAAACAAATGAAAGAGCGAAAATTGTGCGAAAAACTGTTTAAAGAAGTACGTTTTTCTTTTTACCACGCCTGACACATACAAATTGTTTATACGACATGTATAAACATATGTAATTTTGTAAAGAATAAACAGTTTGCAGCAATTCAACAACAAATTATTATTTTAAATTCAATTCCATTTGGCCGTTTAATTTAATCATGAATGTCGGAAATTTTCACACATTTCAGATTACGTTCACATGTTCACGTGTGTGTGTGTGTTTGTGTATATCGATAATTTGTTTTGTTAACATACCGCCTGTTTCTAATTAATAATAATGATAATAATAATAATTAAACAATATAATTGTTTGATTTATACTCCGTGAAATTGTTAAAAAAATATATATATGCAGAAAGGGCCGATACGGAGTGAAATACTAGGTGTTGATGTATGAACAAGAATCTTTATTTAAACATGCCAAACGTTTCGACTCTTGGTTTGAGTCATCTTCAGTGGCATACAAAAATCTACATAAATAAATTAATATAAAAATTACAAAAAAGGTGATGTACTGCCTATATTTTTCTTAATGGCGAGTTGTAATTATTGCTTGGCTTCTTTTCTGCACTGTTTCTTTGGTTTTTTGTAATTTTTATATTAATTTATTTATGTAGATTTTTGTATGCCACTGAAGATGACTCAAACCAAGAGTCGAAACGTTTGGCATGTTTAAATAAAGATTCTTGTTCATACATCAACACCTAGTATTTCACTCCGTATCGGCCCTTTCTGCATATATATATTTTTTAATAATAATTAAATAACAATTATCTGATTAATAATAATTAATCCGATACCGCGAAACTGCGATTGCGGTGCTCGTGGTTTTTTTTTTATTAAAAATGGAAATTTGTTGAATCATCACATGAATAATTTCTTTTCATCGCGCGATAAAAATAAATAAAAATAATATTGCAATAAGATGAAGACAAGTAAAAATATAGAATTCCGTAAATTTGGAAATAGGTGTATATTGGGAAAGGGAATATTCGCGCGCGTGCGCACTTTAAAAGTTTTAGGCCGTTTGGGTCCTTTTAAAATGAATCTCTTCTTGGATTCCCAGTACAACTGTTGTAAGTGCCCAAGCGACTGGTCAAATCGAACAAGGTCGTTTTACGGAGCGAAATAACGTGCAGAATACAACAAAAATCTGATATCAACGTTCGATTCGCGCAAGAGGTATATTATTGTTTCCAACGGACAATCGGAAGATCTATTTTTTGTTGTTGTTGCGAATATCTTTCGGCACTGCTTTCTCGCGTCGTATTCATCGCGCGAAGAAACCTCACGTGAGGTGAGCGCGAACACGTGCTCGGTAGAATCTAACGCGAGACTTCGAACAAAAAACCCCCAAAAAAAACTGAACAATATAAAAAAATATCGCATTAATTTCCGCAAGAAATTAAACACGCGAGTGCAACGTAGTTTTTTTTTTTTTTCTCTCGAATCGTTTGGTTCAACGATATGTATGTTAGATAAACCCTGGTTTTAACCTTGGTCTCTACTCGAGAGAAATGCAAATATTGATTATTTGTCACACTACCGAAACACCTTGATACTTTCGGATATTACGTGAGATTATTCCGCTTCGGTGTGTATATAAAATTGCGACGTGCAAAATTTGCGTTAAGTCGCGAATCGCGAAAACTTTCGGAGAAAGGAAACGCGATATGGAGTAAAAGACCCAATTACCGTCACCTGAATAACAAACTCTGGCGTTAGCGAATTGTTTTTTACTACTTGTTTTATTCAAAAACATGTGTTTTTCTTCTTATCTGGTATTGTTCGATGTCTCTGATATGAGAAACAAAATAAATACCGCCTCTCAAAATTTCTATTTTATTTATCAATTTAACAATTAAAAACGAACGACGCGAAAGCTATTTACCGTCGCCCCTAAAATGAAAGAAACGAGACACGAATGTTGAGTGCTGGAGAGATTTTTTGTTATATCAATTGCACTTAAAATTCTATTACACGGTAAAAAATAAAATGTTAATTTTAATTTGAGCGGACCTCCTAGGACATGTAAAAATGGTTAAAATAAATAATTCGTCATGTGTTTATTTATCGACAAACTAGTAATGTTAAGTGACTGACACTTTACATTTATGTTTGTTATATTTTGACTTTAAGTAAATGTAAAAATAAAATAACATCATTATTTTTTGTTATTTGACGAATAAGTTATTTTAACCTTTTTTTTACATGTCCTAGGAGGTCCACTCAAATTAATTATGTTATTTTATTTTTTACTGTGTAAGAACAAAAAACAGCCGTAATATAATTCGAAATGTTAAAATAGACCTTCCCGGCTAAGAAACCAAGGGTTGAGGTGGCTTAAATAAAATCTAATTGAATCCAATACGGAGATCAGAGGAACGTTTCGATCTTTATTTTTTTCTGATCATCATCAGCCTCACTGGACGGAACAAAAAAATTACAAAATTAACTAAAATATAAATATGAAAAAAAATATAAAAGTGAAAAAAGATATAATAAGAAAATATAGCAATTAACAGAATTATTACAGAATTAAGGTGAGGCTGATGATGATCTAAAAAAATAAAGATTCGAAACGTTCCTCCGATCTCCTGTATTGGATTCAATTAGATTTTATTTAAGCCACCTCAACCTTGGTTTCTCAGCTGGAAGGTCTATTTTACCATTTAAAATTCTATGTTAGATTGTTTTCGTGCATAACTTTTTTTAGGATTTATTTATATATTAATTATTATTTATATATTATATATAAAAATTATATTTATATATTATTAAAAATAATAATATATAAATTATATTTATTTATATATTATTAATTATTATTTATATATTATATTATTTATATTTATATATAATATTTTAAACAAAATAGCTCAGGGTGACGGTAATTGGACAGGTGACAGTAATTGGATCTTTTACCCTACATATTGCGACATCGATCGGTGTGTAAACTTTCCGATGCGCGAACACACACACACACGTAAAGCCACAATGTGCAACTGTGATTACAGATAACAATGAATCGCGCTCCGCAAGTTAAAATTTTGGAACAGCCAGCTAGACATCAGACGTGTTGCTCGAAACAGCGCTACGTGTTCTCACCCTCGATCGACGGAGTTCACAGCCGGGGTCAAAGAAAAACATTTCCCGTTGTGCAAGTAAGAGCTGCGATTGCTATGATTTTTTTTTCGAGTTCGCCGCGTGCGCCGCGTTTTACATTTTTTTACGGCGGTTTTTTTGATAATCTTCGCAGATTCGAAATTGGAAAGGTCCTCTCAAGATAATCGTGTCGTGCGTGACGAAAGATCCGCCGCACTATCCTCATCCCTTTCGACTGGTCGGCGAGGAAAAATGCGCGAACGGAGTTTACGTGGAATTGATTCCGAAAGGAAGCGGAAACAAGTACGTTATTTTGTCGGACGTTGGCATCGAAAGCGTAACGGGAACGGACGTCGCGAACTCCATCGGCGAACGAATGTACATGAACGAGGATCCCTTTAACAGTACGTATACGTTTCTACCAATACTTCTCTCGAATTAATATTTACTTACACAGAGATGTGCAATTGTGTTGAACAGCTGGCTTCAGATACATTCTGCCGAAGAACGATCAAACGATGTTGAGATTATGCGCTCATGTGTATCTGCAAGGTACGCAGAAGGACTCGTACGACATCGCTCTGGCACCCGTTGTATCCAAATCTATACACATCATAGGTTTGTTCCTTTAGTCCTCAGTCTCTCTTTTTCTTATCATTTTCTTTTATTTGTATTCTATATTTTTATTTTTATTTTATTTTTTATTTTTTATATAATTTTTTTAATTTTTTACTTTTATTGTTATTAATTATACTCACCATCCCAAGTTCAATTATTTTCTGGCATGTGCTTTATATTTTATTTTATTTTATTTTTGTCATGTAAAGCGCTTGAGGGAGCCAGTTCCTCGGAGCGCGATAAAAAATAAAGCTTGTATCTATCTATCTATCTTTGTCTCGCGAAAGAACACCTGTAACACATAAAAAAATAATTTACATTAATCTCCCGTTTTTGTTGTGTCGTATGTTACGAAAAGGAGTCAAAAAAAAAGGTCGCTCTTTCTCGACGCACTCAAGGTAAGATGAATAATTGAAATCAAAACCCGGGAAAAAATGGATTAGAGATCCAACTTAAATTTAACGAGATAAAAAAAAAATGAAAAAATAGATCTAATTAGATCCAAAAAATAAAAAATAAAATCTAAATAAAAAACAAAAAATCTAAAATAAATCTAAATAGATATAAAGTAGATCTAAATAAATTATAAGCAGATCTATTAAATTTACACACCTTTATATATTATTAAAAATCTACTTTAGATCTACTCGGATCTACTGTAATCAAAACTACTCAGATTTGAGTTAGATTTGAGCAAATCTGAACAGATCTGAGATGATCTAATATGATAGATCTGATTAGATCAAGAGTAAGATCTAATAATAAATAAAAGAGTTTAAATTTTTTTCCATAGATTTACTTATATATCTATTTAGATTTATTTATTTAGATCTACTTTACATCTACTTATTTAGATTTAATTTAAATCTAATTAGATCCAAATTAAATCTAAATAGATATAAAGTAGATCTAAATAAATTATAAGCAGATCTATTAAATTTACACACCTTTAGATATTATTAAAAATCTACTTTATAGATCTACTCAGATC